TCCCCTCCCTCTCTCCCTCCCCTCCAATAACTGGATTTCCTTCTGCAGATTTACCACACATGCAGGCAAGATGGTCTGTGGCAAACCTGGTGATAAGTGGGTCCAGGACATCGTGAATTGCCAAAAGGACAAGGCGAGCAGTGGATGAGCAGTGCCCTGTTCCTAAGAGTACCTTCTCTCGTGGGCACCTCCAAGACATGTCTGTTTTTTCTTATTGCCTGAGAATTTGGCAGACTATTTAATACAGTGTTTAGCTCTTTTATTTAAGGTTATGCAAACGTATTTTTAATTTATTTGTCATTTTCAGTGAAACTTTTCATTCTAATTTGTACCGATTGTGCTGAAGTTATTTTGTGTAATAAAAAGGAGCAAAACCTGCAGCTTCTCCCCCTGGTTCTCGGAATGTTTCACGGAAGCTGTGGTGGGCAGCGGTGGCTAGGAGGAGGTCCAGGATGACACTAGATGGGTCTCTGGGGTGGTGGGGTGGCTTCTGACTACCCCCAGCCCCTCCGTGCTGCACACCCCCTGCACAGTGGAGCAGTGCTTGTCCTGCCTGCTCCTGGCAGGGCTCTGGGCAGCTGCCTGTGCCTCCCACCCCCCCTCCAGGCTGTGCATGAGCCCTGCCCCAGGAGATACCCAAGAGTCTGTGGCTCTTTGCAGGGGGTGGGTGTCACGGGGGAGGTTTTGGCGTGAGCGGTGGCATAGGCAGGTGTGGGGGTCACGGAGCTCAGCCAGCACCTTTGGGCAGCCCGCGAGCAGGCAGCGGGCAGGCAGCGGGCAGGCAGTGCTGGGGCTCCCACTGCGCGGCTCAGCAAACACCACAGTTGATGCCACGTCCTCTGCCATCCCAGTGCCCGTGGTTATCTATGGGCACAGATTATTTCTGGCACTTCCTAATTTGTCCTGCTCGGTTTTCCTTTCACTTTGACGGGCCAGTTGGCCGGTGCCATGCTCCTCCCCCAGCTGCCGCGGAAGCTCCCGCCATCGGTGCTGCTGAGGCCGGCAGCAACTCCGGGCTTATTGTGGCACGGCCGGTACTGCCTAGCGCTGAGGCTACTGCAACCGCACCTGCCTGCAAGCCTGCCTGTGCTGGCTGACTCTGGAGGACGTGCCCGGTGAGGCCACCCAGCCGTGGAGGCCACCATGGCCCTGGCGGGTGCCCTGGAGCAGCTGCAGGAAGAGGCCATCTGCCCCATCTGCCTGGAGTACATGAGCGACCCTGTCAGCATCGACTGCGGTCACAACTTCTGCCGGGGCTGCATCGCCAAGCACTGCCAGGAGAAGGGTCTCTGGGGTGATGGCCCCTTCTCCTGCCCACAGTGCCGGGCCTCCTGCCACCGCAGTGGCTTCCGACCCAACAGGCAGCTGGCCAACATTGTGGAGAGCATCCGGCAGCTGGGGCTGAGGGGTGGTCTGGGGCCGGAGCCAGGGCCGGGGACCCCTCTCTGTGCCCAGCACGACGAGCGGCTCAAGCTCTTCTGCGAGGAGGATGAGGAGGCCATCTGTGTGGTGTGTCGGGAGTCTCTGCACCACCGCTCACACACCGTCTACCCCATCGAGGAGGCTGCGCAGGTGTACAAGGTAGGGGAGGTTGGGGTGCCGGGGGTCCCCGTTCTGCCCTGATGCACCCTGGGCACACCCAGTGCCAGGGGGATCAGCCGCCAGCACCCCACCACCCAACACCCCCGTCAGTACTGCCTGGAAAGCAGAGGAGGGGCTGGCAGAGATGGTGCACCCACCCAGCTGCTCTCATTGCAGCGATGAGGCAGAACCTGCTGGCTCCCAAACTGGGGGGGCACCCAGGCTCACCCCTGTCCGTCTAGGTGCACAGAGGCAGCCTGGCTCCCTCTCCCTCTGCGACCCCCCCAGAGAAGGGGGGTGAGTCCTGCTCTGGGGACGTTTCGCCTCAGTGGAGGGGTGCACCCAAGCCCCATGACCCAGTGATGCTCTTGGCAGCACGCCACCAGCCACCACGCACCCCAGTGGTGCAGCGAGCAGTCACTTTATTCTCCAAAACCTAAATAATGAGAAAAATATGGGGAAAACCCAAGGAGAGAGGAGAGGGTTAATGCTACGAGCAGAGTGAAGAGCACAGCTGCTGGGTTCGGGTGCCAGGGCTGGCACTGCCTGGCGCGGGGTCACTGTCACCGTCCCTGGCTGCCCGCTGGCACCGGCGGTCCCAGGGCAGAGGGTCCCGGCTGAGCTGTGCTGCTTGGTGGCTGCTGCTGGGGAGAGCTGAGCTCATTTCTTCCCTTTTCAGTTCAAACTCCAGCAATCCCTGGAGCATCTTTCTAAGGAAGTGGAAGACGTGAAGAAGCGTGAATCGGTGGAAAGGAATAAAACCCAGGAGTGCAAGGCAGGTGCCTGGCTTAATTCTTAAAGAATAAGCTTCAGATATATCCACAGTTATGATCTTGTCTGGGGCTGTGAATTTGGGATAGTCCTCAGGGTGGGACATGTCCCCGTGTCCTGCTGTTGTGTGGAAGACTGATGCTGGAATCCAGGCTCTATGCTGCTCTATAAAAAAATTAAAAAGCTTTGCAAATAAATGCTTTGCAAAAAGCAGCACACCAGCTCCACTGAATCCATGGAGGCTTGTATACTGGTTAAACAAATTAGACACAGGTTATTTTTGATGTGCCTTTTGTTTTACAAGGTGTGCTTGAGTTACAAGCCAGGCATGAGCCGTACATATTGCTTCACAGCAACAGGAACCTGAAGTGTTTTCATTAAGAAAAAGAAAAGCTGAGTTACTGCACTTCTGCCTGACTCCAGGCAGTTCCTGGGGAGGTAAGATGCCAGCAGACAGCCCATTTCACGTCCCTCCGGGGTGGAAGTGGAAAGTAAAAGTAACTGCAGAAGACGAAACTGCTGGGCTGTGTTACCCAGCCCCGAGCTGGAGCAGATGATTAATCGGCTTTGACAGGAAAAACAGGTTTCTCCGGACTCCCCTGGTTATTTGCTCAGCTCCCCTGCCTGCTCACGGCAGCCTGGCCAAGTGGGTGGCAGGTTTTGGGGTGCCCCCGTGGGCCTGCTGTCCCACCCAGGGCTGGGCTGGGGCTGGGGGGTGACAGAGGTGTGTCTCTCGCTCCCTGCTCGCCGGAGTCAGGGCTCCAGGGCCACGGCTCAGCTGCCTCCAGCTTCCTCCAGGCTCAGCAGCTGGTTGCACTTTTTTAGCAAAAAGGAAAAAAATGCCCCTTGAGAACGGTGGGGCAGGAGTGGCTGTGACTATCCTGGCTTATCAAGCCTTTGTGACTCATGTCCAAGAAATCATGTGCTTGGATATAAATGCAGTTCGGTTTCCTTTTGTTTATCTTCCAGATTTTAAAGTTTCATGGTCCTGGCTAACCTCAGCGTGTTTTCCTGGTGCTTCAGGTTCCAAGCAAAGTACCAGTTTTTAGGGTTCAGGTGAAACAGCCTAAAGCACTGGCAGACCCTGCCTGTAGCTGCTGTAGTGAGAGCTCTCAGACACCCGGGGAGTCCTCCCTGGCTCCCCTTTTCCATCCCTCGCCAGCCCCAGGGCTTCTTCCACCTCTTTCCCATTGCTGTGGGGTTTTCCAGACACGGGGCATTTCCTCCAGGCTGCCTGAGCAACGGACTAGCCTGAACCTAGCTGGAGAGGGGAGTTGTATCACAACTATTAAAAATGTACCCTGGAACCTGATGGCATCTTGCACTGAGCAGCCCCCCCATCTTCCTGTGCTGCATCATTAGACATCTGAGGTCCAGCTGAGCAGAAATGCCCCGGGCAACGTCCTGCTGCTGGTAAAGTGAGGATGTGGAGTGGGAACTCAGGCAAGGTGAAAGCACAGCAGTTAGCCTCTGGCTGTTTTTTTAAATAAATGTGCTTATCGAAAGAATGTGGTGGTTTCCCAGGCCCTGATGTCTGTATGGGTGCTGGAGAATCCGGCTCTGTCTCTGCTGCCTTGCTACTGTTGCTTGGCTTCACCCCATCTATCTTGTTATCACAAGGAGACAGTGAAGAAAAAGCGGGAGAGAATTGTGAGCGAGTTTGGGAAGCTGCATCGGCTGCTGGCCGACGAGGAGAAGCTGCTCTTCCAGAAGCTGGAGGAAGAAGAAAAGCGGATTCTGCTGATGATCAGTGAAAACCTGGCCAGGCTGGTGGAGCAGAAGTCCTTGCTGGAGGAGCTGATCCTGGAGATAAAGGAGAAGACCCAGCAGCCGGCTGACAGGCTACTCAAGGTCAGGCTATGCCACCACCCCCAGTAGCTCAGCCCTGATGCTGTTGCCATCTGGGCAGGTGGCTGGGGCCAGGCTGACTGGTGGGCACGAGGCTCCGGAGCCCTATAACCAAAACATAAGAATGTTTTTTCTCTTCTCCTTCTAGGACATGAAAAGCATCCTGAGCAGGTAGGTACCCGTGCTCATTCCTCCTACTGTCCTGTCTGCCTCCAGGCTCTGAGACGTTCATGTCTGCTCCATGCCAGTCACCCCCTGCCCTCCTTGCTCAGTGTCTGGTTTGATCCTCCCTGGGGCTGACAAAGGAGGGACTGAGACCAGTGGTGGCTGGAGAAGATACACCATCCTCTTCTTCCAGGGCCCCAGAGCCAAGGTTTTGCCTGGCTGTGTGGTGTCTGAGATGTGTCCCCTCCTAAGGGACATGCTACCTGGGTCACCTTCCTCCTTCCTTCTTTCCAGGGACTGGCACTGCCACTCCCCACATCATTTAGCTCTGGTCCCACTGGGCTTGCTGATAAGCAAGCAGTTATCCCTAGTGCTCTTCACAGCCGGAGGGCTCAGGAGATGCATCTGTGCAGCCAAGAGAAGGGCATTAAACCTGTCCCCAGCAGGAAACACTGTGCTGTGGGCTCTGGATACAGTCCATGGGCATTGGTGTCCTTGCAGGTGTGATGGGGTAAAGTTCCAGTCCCCCAAGCCTGTGTCTGTGACCCTGAAGGAAAACTACAGCATCCCTGAGCACTGCCTGGGCATGAGGGACATGCTGAAGAAGTTCAAAGGTAAGGCTTTTGTGCCAGCTCCTGGCACATCTGGGCTCTGGTCCTGCCCTCCCCTTCAATACCCTGGGACATGGGGAGGTTTTTTCAAGCTTTGCCCTGCTGGTCCCAGTTTGTGTACTGATGAATTTCATGGTGGTTCATGGTGGGGAGACCTTCCTCGTTCTGGATCTGGATGGGTTGTGAGATGACCCTGAAGCCTAGGAGGTCTCTCAGGATTTTCAGACTCCGTGTTGCCCACAAACTCTTGCTTTCAGTGTTGGCTGTTTCTGGAAGCTGTGCTGGAGGCTGTGGAGCCACCCTCCTTCTGTTCCTGCTCTGCAGCCAGATGCCAGATATTCTGATGTGCTTTATAGTTAACATAAATTTATGTATTGCACTTCCCCGCTGCTGGGCAGTGCTGGGAGCTGGGCAAAGCCACAGGCACAAGCCAGTAAATGGAGGAAGTAGGAAGAGCAGGAAGAGCCCAGCATCTGGGCTGCAGACACCCGCTTGTGTCTGCACCTGCAGACCCCTGAAGCCCCATCTGTCCTTCCACCCTTCTCTCGCTCCAGTGGATGTAACTCTGGACCTTGAGACAGCGCACCCTGAGCTCATCCTGTCTGAGGACCGCAAGAGCGTGCGGCGTGGGGGCAAGAAGCTGCTTCTATCCCTGTTTGACAACCCCAAGAGGTTCAACACTGTGCCAGTGGTGCTGGGGAGTCAGGTCTTCTTCTCAGGCCGCAGCTACTGGGAGGTGCAGGTGGGAGACAAGCCCGACTGGGGCTTGGGGCTGTGCCGGGAGTCTGCCAGCCGGAAAGGCAACATCCTCTTCTCCCCAAACCATGGCTACTGGGTGCTGCGGCTGCAAAATGAGGGCAACTACGAGGCCCTCACCTCGCCCATCTCCCCGCTGACCCTGAGTGTGAGACCCCGCCGCATCGGGATCTTCCTGGACTACGAGGCAGGAGAAATCTCCTTTTACAATGTGAGCGACCGCTCCCACATTTACACCTTCACTGACAAGTTTTCAGGGAACCTCCGGCCTCTCTTTTTCCTGGGTGCCTTTTTGGGGGGCAGAAATGCAGAGCCCTTGGTGATCTCCTGGGTCAGGGACACGCAGGATAGCGGGTGCATCATCCTGTGACAGTGGCTGCTTTAGCTTCTCACCAGCGGACAGAGACCTGGGAGCCTGACCAGCTCCTCCTGCAAGCAGGAGGGTGATGCTGTGGCAGTACCAAGGAAATATCTGTGTGTCTGGATGAGAGACATGGCCAGGTCCCCACGTGCTCCTGGCTGCTGGGGGGTGACCTGCTGAGTGTGACACCTCCTGCATGCCATACCCATGCTGGGAAGGGCACTTTGCAGTGGGGACATGCCATAACCCTCTGTGCTGCCAACAGGGACAGGAGATCCCACTGACCATGACTGCCCTGCCACTCACCTCACAGGCTGCTGGAGAAGGCTATGCACACGGCCTGCCCCGTAGTGCTGATTTTGGTGTGACGTGTACTGGAACAAGGCAATAAAGGGTTGATTTGGGCAGCCTTGTGCGGTTAGCAGTGTGGTTTTGTTGTGCGTCCATCCCTGCACGATAGCCCCAGCTATTGCACAACATCTCAGAGGGCAAAGGGTGCTGCTGGACCTGGTCCTCTCTGGCCCAGAGAGGGTCCCCGAGAGGCCCTGCTGTGGCCTCAGTGGGACACCACAGCAAGCCGGACACCCACCAGGCAGGGATTCAGTAGCAGCAGCTGCCTGTGTGGTTGGCCGCGCTTCAGTCTTGCGGTGCTGGGGCCTGGGGTGAAGGTGAGGGGACACCTGTATGGGTGTGGGTGTCCCTGGGCTGCTCTCTCATCCTCTGGTGGGGACATCACCTCCTGGTCTGGTGGCTCCAGCCCCTCCGCCTCCCCTCACAAGCCCCATGAGTGGGAAATCTCTAGGAGTGGGAAGTGGTACACTGCCCACCACTGGATGGGGGCACTTTGGGGGCTGGAAAATCCAGGGAAAGAAAAATAACCCAGCTTCTGCTGTGTGTCCAAAGGTCTCTATTAGTCTCTTCATCCCCTGAGACAGCCCTTCTCCAGGCTGTATTGCTGCCCCGGCCTCTTGCCTCAAGCAATCTACCACAGTGTTGCTGGAGGAAAGGCTCTCAGGTCCTTAAGCTCAGCTGTGGCATCAGCCAGTTCTACTCATCTAAACCAAAGCTCCGGTGGTCCTCGGGGCCAGGAGGCAGGAGACACTGCCCTGGGGGCAGAGGGGGTGGAGGCGATGCCAGCAGCCATGGACTGCCAGCTGGAGCAGCTGTGGAGTGTGCCCTTCAGACAAAAATAATGAAGCCGCTTAATTTAAAGACAGATTCAATTCAAATAAAATGAGATTTGGTAAAATCCTAAATGCTCAGCACAGTTTCTCTGGGGATGTCCTGGATGGTGCTTTAGGAGTCTCCTAGTGAAAAATTACGCTGGACCTGAGATAGCATTTCCTCTTGGCTGAGTTTTGTTGTGTTTTGGGGAGTCCCACCCTCCTCCCTTACAGGGGGAGTTTATGGAGCCTGAGAAGATAAGAAAGGACATCAACATGAGGTCTTGAGAGAGGGCTGGAAGCAGAGACAGTTGTGGGGGGGAGTGGTGAGGACAGCCAGGGAAACCTGTTGTGCCGGGGTTTAGGCTGGGAAGAGACCAGGCAAAACGTCACCAAGCCAGGGGTGGGAGGAAGTGATGGGATGGAAATTGTCCAGAAAGCAAAAGTAATCTGACCGTGGCAGGGTGACAGATGAGTGGCACTTGCTGTGGTGCTGGAGAGACAAAAAGTGTTTCCAGAAGAGGTAGGAGGAAGTGCAACAGTTTGAAGATCTTGCAAAGAGGGAGAAGAAATGAACAGAAAGGATGTGAACTCACCCCGATGCAGCATCCTAAGCGTTCCTAGAAATCATGACTCTGCCTCTCCCAGGAAGGAAAGGTTGAAGACATGAGATAGCTCTGAATATGCTGTAAAATTTTCCATCTGGTAGAGTCTCTGCATCACCTGCAACTATGAAACCACCCTGAGATGCCCAGACTGGCTGGCAATGGGCAACTAGAGAAAAGCCAGGAGCACTGGGACCTGCTGACTTAAAGCTAAAGCTGTTCCTAAATGTATTTGCAAGCAGGTTTTCTGTTTAAGTCAAGTCAAGCTTGCCCCTGTCCTCAGTGGAAATGCATTTATTGCCTGGCTCTGGCCTCCACACAGGTCCTGCCCAGCAAGGACCAGGTCTTGCTCGGACCACCACCTCAGCCATGAGGAATGGCTGCACGGCACAGCATGGTCCAACCTGACCACGTGGGGCTTCCCACAACCGCTCCCGCTCCCCAGCTCCAAGCAAGCTGGTGGCCCTCACACAACGTCATAAGGCTATTTATTACCAAAGGGGCTGACCTGTATGTGCCAGGCTAATTGCAGTTACACCATTTCCATCTGATTTGCATATGCTGAAGAAAGATGGGCATATACATATAATATGTAGGGACATTTTATGTTGAGACATTCTCTTGCTGTGGTGAGTCCCAGGACTGATCTGCTCAAGGTGTCTGATTTTACCAACGGCAGTAATCCCTCAGGATACCACGTCTAGCAGAACAGCTGTGGGTTGGGTGATCAGGGAACTGTTTATCTGAGCGATCAGTAGATTAATGTCACATTTCCAGGCTTTGGGTCCTAGGGCAGTTTGGTCACCCAGAAGCACTGACAGTGTCCCCTGTTAAAGATTCTCCACAGCAAAATTTACAGACCTGCAGTTCTGGAAATGTGTATTCTCAACAAATGTTAACATCTTTCTTTCTCTTCTAGTATAGTGGAAAATGTTTTGTCATCTTAGAGAAATGTGAGTAGTCATCTGTGTCTTTCTAAGAACTGAGCAGAAATGTTCTTTTGGGTCTTTGTTACCACATCTGCCTTCTGCTGGCTGTTACAGGAAAGGTGATGGCCATCACCATTTCTGCCTTCTTAAGCCCTAGAAGACGGGGATATATCGCTACTTTAGGCAAACATTACTTTTGTATGCAGCCTGAAACACCATCCACTTTTACATGCCTTTTTTGGATGCTGGTCCCCCGGAAGAGACACACTCCCTCATCTTGGTGACTCTGGGAAGAGCTGTTTCTGGTGGAGGACTGGTCCTCCCCTCCCTGCAGTGAGCCAGGGCCCTGGTGAGGAAGGCACAGAACTGGCACTTCTGAGTGCACAGGCATTTTGACTTCAGGGTGCCTAATTCCTCTCTGAAAAAGTGGAGATGTAAAAGCCATCAGATCATGAACCTTGATGGCCATAGGGCTGTATCTCCATCAGCAAAGCCCAGCTTCTCCTCCTGTGCAATGCTGGACTCTGACCTCCAACTCCCCCCTGGCTGTCTACACCTCAAAATGCCTACGGACACACCAGGGTGATATAAACAACAAATATATAAAGATATGCATGTATATTATAATAATCATGTTACTTTTATCATAGTAATGATTTTATTTTTGTCCACAGCTAGGCTTTCCCAGAGTGTTCATTAAAAATATTTACTTTTATATAGATCACACAAAATATGCAGTAAATACCACACTCTGGTTTTGGGATGAGTCTCTCTTTCAGTAGTTTACAAATTCTGAAACCCTTGACACCATTACTCTTGTCTTGGTCTGAATCCAAAGGAAAACCCCTCCAAGCCACCCTGCTCTTGGGTCCCAGACTCCCCTTTCTCTTTGTCTGTTGCCTTGGGCTTAGTGCCCTCTGCTCCTTGTGTTCTCCTGCCCCGTCTCCAGTGGGTGCTCCTTGAGCACACCACAGGGCTGTTTCTGGGAGGGACGAGCGTCATGATTAGCTCCTGAGATGCACGCATGAGCACCAGGGCATCCCAGGGCTCCTCCAAGAGTTGCACGGTTTGAGGGTTTTCTTGCATCACTCAGCTCTAGCAGCAAGGTCAGCCTCAAAGAGCTGCATCAATGTATATGGCAAATACATCCCCCACTCTGGACAGGGTAATCCCTGGGCGCAGATTTGACCTAATGGCAACATGGGTACTGCAGCCCCTGCCTGTTCCTGCTCTGCGCCACCTTCCTACACTCCTCTTCCTCCTCCCTTGCAAAATGTGGCAGCTCTGGAGATCACCAGGGATGCCTTTTCCATGCACACGCTGCTGCTGGTGGACTTTGGAGGCAGTTGCCAGCTGCTGGCCGCCTTTGCCTTGCTCGTGCAGGCTTCATTCACACCTCTGTGCCTGGGGGTGTGGATTAACAAGCACGCTGTATCCCTCACATATGCACTTTGAGGGCTCCTCTGAGCTGTCACACGTAGGTGGGTGTAAGATTAAGAAAGACATGAGCAATTCAGGACTCCCTGCAGTCTCCCAGAATAGTGGTGAGGAGTTAGCTGAGGTACCCAGGGTAGGTGTCTGCTGTGGGTGGCTTGAATGTGACCCGGGTGTTAAGGACATTGCCGTGTGGGGTTGTTTGCAACAGGCTCAAACAGTGCATGGGCTGGATGGTGCTCGCCGACTGACCCTGCACTCTGGTTCTTCGACAAGAAACCCCAAGGGCCTGGGACTGCTCCCAGTGCCACAGACAGATGGGGCTTCTAACCAGGAGGGACTGTGGTGGCTCAAGCCATTTTGGGATGCCACCGTTGCAAGTCTCCCCACTCCTGTCCTCTGCTCCTGGTTTTCTCTGAAGCATGGGCAGCTCTGGGCACCTAGCTTTGTGCCAATATCAGTCATTGGGTGGAGCTACCGGGCTCTGGAACTCAGATAGGGCCTAACTGGTACCCAGTGGCCAAGGTGTCCTCGCTCTAGCATGGCCACGATGAGCCCTGCTCTGGGCGCTGGCCCTGGGGCATGCAGTGGCTGTGAGGTCAGGACTGTGACCAAAGCCCCTGCCCTCACATGCAGGAGCAGCTCCTTGTCACCAAGGCACAGCCGCCTTTGTGGTGTCCACCCGAACCCCCCAGCCATGGGCTCCCTCCCTGCAGCACCTTGGGAAGGGGGCTCTGGTCCTGTTTCAGCCCCCTCCTCACCAGATGCTATTTTAAACTGGATGCAGTCAGCACTGTAGAGGGATGCCTGGTGGATTACACGCTGCCCTGTGGGCTGAGGAGTTGGTGGCTGCAGTTCGTGAAGTGATGAGGCCTCTGACATAACTGATATGTTCATTTCTCTCCCAAACTCACCCACATCCCCCTGGTCCCTTCCAGCCCCACCTGAGGCTCCTCTCACTGCACGGCTCCCACCAAACCTCTCCCTGTGCCTGCACCACTCCCCAGGAGCTCCCTTCCTGCTCTGCTCCCCTGTGTCTCACTGATGTTCATGTTTGTCCTCCCAAATTCACTATGCAAACACCGTGGAGTGAGCTGAGTGCAGGCAGATCTCTGGCCTGAGCCTTTTTTGTTCAGCTGCCCTATAGACGCTAGAGGTCCAGGCAGGGGGAACCCAAACCCTTGTTGTTCACCCAACAGCGTGTGCCCAGAGCTGATCAGAGCAACCTAAATGCCATCAGTGGTGTGGTCTCCATCTCTTCCAGCTCCAGTTGGGAGATCAGCCCCAGGGCTGCCGTGGAGATATCTTCTTGTGGGTCAGATCCTGCCCTGGGGCTGGGGTCTAGCAGGGTGAATTCAGGGGGACACCACATCTCTGGATAGGCATCCCCAGAGATGGGCAGGTTTTGGAGGCACAGAGAAAAAAGTACCTTTTCTTGTAAGAGAGTCATATCTGCTAAGCCTCATGTCCCAGCTAAATGACAGTTCAATGAAATAGTAGTGAAATATATTTTTTCCATTCTCAGCTCTGGGAATAACTGATCCATTTTAGATGCAGCTCTCAGAAAACTTTCCCTGAAACAGCCAGCATGTTAAACTGTGACCCCTAAAGGTAACAATTGACTCTAATGGGGCCAGCGGTAGAATTTAACTAGCTGCCAGTAGTCATAATGAGTAGTGATTAAATACCTTATAAAAGGAGTGACCCAAGATACCTGAATGTAATCTATGCCCTTCTCACACCTCCTCCTTCATGGTTTTTATCTTCCTATTGTGCAAAACGGGATGTTCAGATAGGCAAAGCTTGTGGGGGTTTTGACAACATAGAGAAGGGAGTAAAGAACATGTTCCTGCTGTTAGAGTTTCAGCTATTGTCATTGCAAATAACTGTAATAGAGGCAAAGACAGACAGTTCTTACAAAAATATTTATTTCTCAAAATTTGAATTAAATATTACATCAAAAATACAGTTAATTAAATACAGAAAATTTAACCTGAGCATGAGTCTTCATTTAAAAAAATACATCTATTAAATAATATTCTTATTTGTCTGGAGTTATTGCACCTGATCCCTCCTCTATAAAAATAATTAAATAACAAAACACTAAAGTCAGATTCTGGAACATTTTCAATTTCTCAGCTAGCTTTAAGTGACACTGACGCATTTCTGACAGAGCCCGCAGCTGGCTGTGGTTCCCTCGTCCCGGCAGTCCGGGGACACCGGGTGACAGGGTCTGTCCTGGGACCTCAGTTCAGCTCCAGCTCGTTCATGTACTGCTTGACCCAGCCCTCATCAGGGTTAGCGCAGACTTCACGGCCCCTCCTTGTGACAAACCTGTGGGGCACAGAGAGATCAGTTTTTGGTGGGAGAACGCTGCATGGGCAGGAGCTCTGACCCAAACCCAACCTCTTGCAAGCATCAGCAGAGTTTGGACATGCAACCGGTGTGAGCCCCCTGTGTGCTGAGCCCATGGGGCATCAGCTTGCCCCTCTTGTCCCCCCATCCTCCCGTCCTCTGCGGCCAGCCGCCATCCCCTGTGTTTTGAAAAGAAGTCTTTCCCTCTCTGGATCCTCAGCCCAAATGGAAATCCCACCACCGCCCCGGAGGAGAGGACTTACACCACGGCTGGCTGGGAGCACTGGCTGTTGGTCTCATAGTACTCCACCACGAAGCTGCGGGGCAGCTGCCGGGAGGTGTAGGTGAAGCAGCAGGAGGTCGGTGGGTCAGAACCAACTGTGAAGGACAAAGATGTTTGTCAGCTGTGGCAAGGGATGGGGAGCAGGTGTAAGGAGCTGGGACCACAGACCCCTGGGTCTGGGCAGCGGAGGGGATGGGGAGGAAGAACAGAAAAGATGAGGTCTGTTTTCTTCTTCCTTGGATTCTTTCTCTTTTGGGTTCACCCATAGCTGGCACTGACATGGCCCGTGCTGTGCTTTGAGCTGTGCCTGTCCCACAGCAGGAGAGCCCCAATGGCCCTGGAGCACCTGCATCCGATCCTCCTGATCCAACACAGGAAGGGACCCAGGGGTGGAAAAGCTGGCAGAAGGGACTCTGCCCCAGCAGCGACATCTCTCCTGTCCCCATTTAGAGAGAAGGGGAAGAGTCCAGACTTACTCGGTGCAGCGGAGGTCTGGTAGCAGCAGGCAGCGATGAGAACGGCAAGGGCAGCCACAAACACCTTCATGTCAGCTGAGAAGCGGTGGCTGGAGCTGAAGCAGGCAAGTGGAGCTTGAAAGCCTCTTTTCTGTTTGATGGTGAGACATTGAGCAGCTCCTCAATTTATGGGGTGAGGATGTCCATGGAGCAGTTTGCGTAGGCATGGTGGAATTTCCCCCAGAGGAGAGATTGCTTGTGGTGTAGTCTCGTGATGAAATGGAGCAGTGGCCTCAGGCCCGGAAGGGTGAAGCTCCCCCCTTGATTCAGTGCCTCCCCAGTGACACAGGATATGAAACAATCACCACTGCTATTTCTGATACTTTCATGCATGTCCCATAGTAAGAAGTTCCCCTGTGGCAGTTCCTTTATTTGTCAATAGGCGCCTGTTACCCAACTTGCCCAAGCAGCTTGGAGGAGAGAGTGCCTCTTTCTAAGAGCTGTGCAAATAGGTGGAAGAGCATGAATGGGATGAGACCAGTTAAAGAAAAAGGGTCTGAGGTCTCCTCTACCATGGACTGTTTCCCTCCCACATCTGCACAGCCCATGCTGCCCCAGTAGCAGGTGATGGGAGCCATCATTAGTGAGTTCCATGTCCTGTCCATGTCTCACATAGTTTGAGGGGACTCAGAGCACGTCCCGCAGCCATGACAGCACTGTGGGCACCAGCATGGGTGTCAGTGGTCTAGAGTCTCAGAAGCTGAAGCACTTGAGTTTCCTCCTCAGTTTAAGGGAAGGGACAGCTGAGATGGGGTGTTACCTCCTGGAGGTGCCTATAAGGCCTATAAGAAGACACACTTCAGGTGCTATAAGAAGACACTAAATGATCAATTTAGATTAGACAGTTAAATTTCAAGGGCTATTGATAGGTGAGGCCTATCATTGCTAGGCATGGAGATGCAGAGACCTAAAAGAAACATGGAGACTTTGTGACCCTGAAAATGGGGCAGAAGGAGCTCCAGGAGCAGGGTGAGGAAGAAGATACCACTTAGTAAGACCAGAATCAGATTAACTGAGGGGTGAGGGCATGGGCAGATAAGTGGGATGACCAGGAAGAAAAGAGTATCCAGTCTCAGCAGGAGAGACAATATTGTAATGACCACAGACAAGAAGGAATTACTATGTTGTACAGGAGAGAATAAGAGCTCAGAGATCTCTGAGGGCTAGGTGAGGGATGTGACCAGGAACTGGGAAGAAGCCACCAGCCTACACACAGACTGCCATGGAAGTCTACCGAACTCTTCTCTGTCCCTGGGGAGGAGAGAGAAGGCCTGGCGGGGAGGTGATGGGTGCTCTGGGAAGAGCTGAGGGCTGTCCAGCTGTAAGGAGATGTTCCATCTCTTCTCAACAGGGAGCAAGCGCATTTCTGGGAAATGTCACCATTTCATTATTTTCAAGACATCATCAAGTGGTGATGTCTTGGCAGATGCTGCCTGAAAGTCAGTGGAAGGACTATCATGTAGAGAGGAGCAACCCAACCGCACCACTAGCGCCTCTGCACTCCTACCGCAGCGCCGGGCACTGACTCATCATGTTTCTATTAAAGGGACCAGCTATAGACCCAGGCACCTTCTGTAAATAACCTGGTGTTTTCCAAATATCACTCCAATGCCCCATGGTGTGTGCAGCCCTCTGCCAGCCGTGGCTGGTAGAAGGGGAGGGAGGGCAGCCCATGGCCTTCCACCAGCCATGGCAGGTTAGCCCCATGCACAGTAACTGCTCTGCTCCACGGGGTCTGGAGGGCAACGTGGTCCTGGACTTGCATAGGAGAAGTCCCAGAGGTGGCCCACCCTCAAGGAGGATCCTACTGGGACATGTGGTGGTGTGCCTGCCCCTCACCCTGCCTGAGGAGGAAAAATCTACCCCATGGAGCAAGTGTGGCCCTTGTCAAGCTGAGCATCACCCCCTTCCTGGACACACTGTGGCCAATCTGGTCCCCCTCCCTCCTTCCCTTTGCTATTCACAGAGGGAAGCACCTTACAGGCTCACTCATCAGTTCAGACCTCATTGCCCCCGCTGTTTGTCAGCTTGCTTGTCCCCAAATATCCTGGGAGGCTGAGGAGAGAGCCTGCCTCCTCATGCAGGGCATCCGGCCAGGCAGGAGGTGGGAACCCGGCATTCAGACAGACACTAGCTGGACCAGAAATCAGCTCTGAGCTAGCGCTGGCTCACTTGGCTCCTCTGTCCGGTTGCTCAGCCTCTGAGCTGTTCCCTGTGATTGTCCCTTCAAGTATTCAGGGGTCATGTCTTGAGATCTACCACCTACAGACATCTGGTCCTGTCCTGCTCCCAAGACACATGGTGTGCGTAGGGCAGGCAGGAGAAGCACTATTTATGGTGCAGAAATGTTCTGATAAAAGCCAAGTTTTATTAAAAGAGAAGAATTAGTTGGAAACTTGCATTGATTATTCAAATGTTTTCAGTGAGATATTTTTCTCTTTCAGGCGGCTGAAAACCTTCATGCTTTTATACATTTGAAGGCAAGCAGATGCCAAATTATTCTGGACTGTCAGGGACCATTTTTTGATTAATCCAAAAAAATTTCTCAGTTTAGCTGAGTCAGTTTAGGATCAGTTTAGTCTAAATAATGTGTATTACAGGGGCCAAGTAAGGGCTGAAACTTTTCTACTGCTGAAAGACAAAAATAACCCCAAAGCCAGGGTGTTTTCTTCCCAGGGGTCTGTTTTTTCTTAAAAACCTGCCAGAAGCCCCCACTCTGCCATCGCTTTGCCGGCTGGAGGTGGGAGGCTATAGTCATATCAGGAATGCCCTGAGATGTTGCAACATTCTCCTAAGAAGCATTTCCTTACCCACTCCTCTGCATTCCAGTCATTATGAAATGAGAAAGTAATTTCTTCCAGCTCTTCCCCCTTTTAGAAAGAGGGGAAGCTGCATGTCTCAGATGAAGGACCTGGGAGGTGCTCTGAGATGGAGAGATGGCCATGGAGGAGTGGGCTGGAGCACATCAGCAGGAATTAGGTTCGTAGCACAGCAAAATGGTGGTGTAAGGTGGAAGTTTTCCCACTGTGGCTTCAGGATCCATGACCCAGCCTGTGGTATCCCCTTGCCCCCACCACTGTCAGGCAGTGCTTGGAGTCAGCAGGATGGGCTGCCCAAAGTGATGTACAAATTTACATAGAGGGATATGATAGAAGTTTTCTGCGTGTCCCCAAAAAGTCCCAGGAGAAAGTGCTAAGTAAAGCAAATGCCCAAAATAAATTCGGTGATAATAGAAATAGGGAAATTCTCAGTCTTGAATGAAAGGAGAACCCTGAAAAAAGTGGTGAGACTGGCTGATGTAAGTTGCTATTTATATCAGGTTTTAAGGTTAAGCTGGATTTGTCAGGATTCGTTAAGAAAAGTAAGCACTTAAAAGTGTCCTGTGTTCAGAAATTGCCTCTAGAACAAGCTCCGCTTCCACCTGCATCAGTCTCCATCCTGCCCTGCTCAGAGCTCAGGCACCAGTGTCTTTACATCAGTGTCCAGAAATTTCACCCCCACCATTCTTGATGTTTCTGGAGAAATCTCGGAATTTTTGAGATGACATCATGTCCTGGAACGGGCTCCTGTGGGAACCTGTGCCTGTGACCGGGAACCATCTGTCTCCACCGCATCGGATGAAGGGGAGAACACGGCCATCCCAGCTGGGCTGCGTTGCACAGGAGAGCCCTTCATGTTTCCCTGAAATGTTGTCAGGCCAGGAAGATGTTCGTAGGTGATAAGAAAATGTATCTCATTGAAGGTTCAAACTTCCGCTAGTAAGGGCATTTTCTGAAAAATCCCTGGGGAATACTATCACTTTCTAATGGCTGATGCCTCAAATTATTCCTGGCCTTTATTTTGAAACAAAATAAACATAAGAGAACTAAGTGTACAGTATTTCAAAGCAAATTAAACTGAAATAAAAAAGCCTTATTGCTCCACACTCCATCCTTGGCATGAAAGGAAAAGAAAAAAACAGGGAAAACTTGAGTTTTACCATTGTTTGAGAAGTGGCTGTGGGGCTGTGCTCCAGGCTTGCCCTGACTCCAGGGGCAGGGGCATCCCTGACCCACCCCCCTCAGCAACCCTCAAACCCTGAAAATACATGGCAGGACCAGACAAAGTGTCTCTGCTGGGGCTGTATCCTCTGCCCTGGGCAACATCCCACCTCACCTGAGCCCTCCAGAAAGAACAAGGAAGACCAGGCTGGAAATTCAGGGCTCTGCTAGGATGAGGAGCAAAACCAGTTTATAAATTAACTTACTGGGCCTTGTGTGCTCATCATAATCAAGCAAAAAGGAAAAGAAGCAAGCCACAAAGTGATTGTTTTAATTTTCAGCAGTGCTCCTGGAGCCCAGCTCTCCAGGAGGTTTGAGTGGGCTGCGCAGGGTGAGCGGCTGTGTCCCAGGGTGCTGCGGGGATGGCCGAGCATCATGAGCTTCCTCTGCTCACAGAGGGGACTGACACCAGGGTTAGCCTTTAAACTTGTGTCAGGGCCGGTGCCACAGATGAAGGACTTCCCTTATGCATGAGTCTGCTGAAGACCCCGTGTCCACCAGCGCAGGCTTTGTCCCTCTCTTTGCAGCATCCTGACAGAGATGTATCTGGTGTTGGTCCCCACCCGGTACTGATGGGGGTAGGAAACTCCATGGGAGGTGTGAGCTTTCCAGCTGCAGTGGTCATGCATGGAGACTGACAGCAGAGCTCGGATGTTTACTAGAGTCACAATTTATTTTGAGCTCGCTGCACGGCTGCAAACCACTTCCCATGTGTGGGGGCTGTTTGTAAGTTAGGGCGCTCTGCAGTGCCTCTGTGAAGGGTAGGTCCCATCCCGCTGCCTGTGATGCTGAGGCTTTTGACATCCCAGATGGGCTTGTGCCCTTCAGAAGGGCCATTGTCTGGTCCCGCTGGCCAGCATAGGCTCTGCCTGGCACCCGCATCCTCTGGGGAGAGAGGAGGGCTCGGGGAGCTCTGGCACCGCTTGCTGTCATGCCATGGCTCGGCAGCCTCCCCATGCGGCCTCCTGCATCCCTTGGGGACAGTTTGCAGTTTGTGAGTAGGAGTGGAAGGGAGCTGGACTTGGTCAGGGATTGCCTTTGCCCCAGGTTGTGAGCAGAGGGACAATGCTGTGACCCCCAGGGCACTGCAACTCTGTCCCAGGGGAATCCACCAGCATCTCCCAGATGGGGCACCCACACCCTAGAGCTCGCATCCGTTTGTGGGCTTCTGGGCAAGAGGATGGAATGGCTAGCTGGAGTGACAGGGACAGGATAATATCCCTTTACCTGCTCCAAGGTCCCTCTGATGATGCTACTGCTGGGACTGGGATGGTCCCCACGGGTTAGTGTACCCCCAGGCGAAGGCAGACAAGGCTTCCCTGTCAGCCCGGGGACAGCCCTCACCATCATCCAAGCAAAGTACTGGCTACCCATCTGCCCTGGGGGTATGTGCTTTGTGATCTCTGGCTCTTGGTGAGTGCAGGACTCTGGGGGAGGCTTGAAGGAGTCCCAAAGCCTCTGAGCTAATCCTTGTCACCATCATAGGAGACGAAGACTCAGCACCTACATAACATCCTTCCCTACAGTCTTCCTCTTTGAATAATTTAACTTTCTTTTTCTATCCTGCCTGCACCCAAACAAATCTCATGCCCCAGTCTGGGTGAGGCTAAAAGGATAAAAAAATAGGCTCGTTCCAGGAATAATAAAGGAAGCTTGAGAGAGGTCAGCTTATAAGGACTTAAACTGCAGGAACTGTGACAGCAGAGAGCTCTGGGATTTGACAGAGAAACGGAAATCTGTGTACAGAAACAGAAAAACGAGAACAGAAGCTGCCCTCGGGAGCCAGCGAGGGCGAGCTGCTCTGCAAGCAGCCTGGCAGGAGCATGCAGCCGGCGCTGCAGCCAGCGACCCAAGGCCAGAGCCCTGTGGCAGGGGCTCAGCGGTGCAGAGCAGCTGAGGAGGGAGAGGTGTCCGTCCCCCTTCCAGGAGGCTTCTCAGTGCTCCGCAGGGAACGACATCGCAGCTGACAAAGGGCCATTTTAACGCAAACAGCTTTGTGCGATGACACAACCAAGCGACTGCAGCTGCAGCAGCTCTTCGCAGACCTTCCTCCTCCAGCTCTGTCAAAGTCATTAACAGAAAATGAGGGCTCCTTTCCTTCCACTGACCATGGCAGGGCTTCCAGCTGGAGGACAGAGCTGCCTGATGCGGATCCCATCGCAGCCCCGTGGCACGGTGCACCACTGGGTGCTGCCGGCCTGGGGGCTTGCTCCTTGCAGGCCGCAGGCTGGAGAGCAGAAGCTGTGAAGTTCCCATGAGCAAAGCTGGTGTTAGCCACAGAGCTGTCTTTCTGCAGCCGCAACCTTTCTCACCCGGCAATGCACCACTGGCAGCCAGCCTTTGTCATCTCTTCATGCACATGCTGAGCTGCAAGCACAGAGAAACATCAAACTCCCACTGTTGGTTTCTGCATGATTTATTTCCGTGGCAAAAAGCCATAATTTGGTTTTGCTTTGCATCAATTCAGCTGAAAGCTATGGCCACTTCTTGTTATGACATGCACCTCTGCCCAGAGCTGCTCAGACCTACCCAGGGAGAGCAGAGCTGGTCCTGCCAGGGCTTGATACCAATCCAGCAAAATCCAATACCTTCCCCGATACCCGAGTCAGGACTTGCAGAGTCTTTGGCACCAATACAAGCACCCTCTCAGGGTGAGCCTGCAGCCTGCCACAGCCGACAGCACCAGTGTCCTGGTTTGTAACTCGGGATAAGACCTTGCAGTGAAGCAGGCATAAGTGTGGGGACGAGCAGGTCATCACCTATGCCAGGGGCCTTGAACCTTATTTTTGTCCCTGCTAGAGACGAGCCAGTTTGTGAAGGATGGTGTCTCCACTTGCAGCTCCAGGGTGTTCTAACAGGGGATTCATACTTCTGGGGATGAAAATCCAGGCCTGGGAGACCACCTGCAGGTCTGAGCATCCTCTCTGCAGTGGAGGAGGGCTTCGACCTGTGGCAGGATGACAGGAAACCCCAGATCACCCCTCTCCTTGCAGAGCTGCTGCTCTGTCCTGCACCCCAGGCAGGAGCTGCCCTGAGCCAGTGACCTGACAAGGACTGAAAGTCTCTTCCATGCCAGGCAGGTTTTCCACCACCCATTTCTCACCTTTTTGGGCAGAAAACCCATCTTGTACTCAGGGGAGCTTTTGGAGGTAGTGGTTCAGGCTGACAAAATGTCTCCAGTGTGGCAAACCACCTCTTCCAGTGAACTCTCCACTCTGCTGGGGGCTGAGGTTGAGGGTGGCAAAAGATCACCCTGTCTGCAAAGACCCTCCAAAGCCGGGTGAGATCCTGCCATTTGGCTGCTTTTTGGAGGCCTGTGACTGTTAAGGTGACTTTGAGTAGTCAGATGCCTCACCAACCCAGTAGTCTTCTAAGATGAGATGGCTGGCCAGGTGGATGAGGGCAGAGGGATAAGCAGATGCTGCTTCTTTTGACTTTAGTGAGGCTCCAATACCATCCTCATAGGCAAACTGATGAAGTATGGATTAGATAAATGGCAGTGAGAAGGACTGAGAACTGGCTGAATGGCCAGGCTTGGAGGGTTGTGATCCATGGCACAAAGTCCAACTGGAGGCCAGTTGCCAATGCGGAACCCTAGGGATGGGTACTGGGACCAGTACTGTTTAATATCTTAATGACCTGGATGATGGGACAACATGCCCTCAGCAAGTTTGCTCATGACACAAAGCTGGGAGGAGTGGGTGATACACCAGGGGGATGTGCTGCCATCCAGGGGGACCTTATCAGGCTGGAGAAATGGGCTGACAAAACCCTCAAGTTCAACGAGAAGTGCAAAGTCCTGCCCTGGGGCCGAACACCCCCAGGCACCCGTAGATGCTGGTGCTGACCAGCTGGGAAGCAAGTTGGCACAAAAGGACCCTGGGATCCTGGTGGATATCAAACTGGACATATAATCTTGCCACAAAGAAGGCCAACAGCCTCGTGGGCTGCATTAGGAGGGGCATTGCCAGAAGGTGAAGGGAGGTGATGTTTTCCCTCTGCTCAGCACTGGTGAGGCCGCTCCTGGAGTGCTGGGTCCAGTTCTTGGCTCCTCAGTGTGAGAGACAAATGGACATACCGGAGAGAGTCCAGTAAGGGTCACAAAGATGACTAAGGGACAGGAGCATGTCTCCTAGGAGAAGAGGCTGAGAGAGCTGGGACTGTTCATCCTGGAGAAGAGATGGTGCAGGGAGATCTCATTAAATTGTGTGTGTGGGGAGCAAAGTGGATGGAGCCTGACTCTTTGCAGTGATGGCCAGTGGCAGGAAAAGAAGCAATGGGAAAGTCTATTTAAACACCTTTATTACTGAAGTGAACTGAAAAAAACACTTTATTACTAAATACTGAAACAGGTTGCCCAGAGAGGTGGTGGAATCTCCATCCCTGGAGATATTCAAAGCCCATCTGGACACAGTCCTGGGCAGCCTTCCCAGCCGACCCTGCTTTGAGCAAGGGCTGAACTGGACAATCTCCAGGGGTGCCTCCAGCAGCAGCTCCTGGCTGGTCCACGTTAAGCCGGGACTGGCGGGAGCAGAGCACTTTGGGTAGCACAGAGCCCACTGTTCAGCCCCCTCTCAGCTCCATGTGCTGCAGTTTATCAACCTCTGATAAGCACCGGTCACAGCAGCACGAGAGTGCTTTGGAGCCTGACTGTTTTGTTTTTTGGTTTTGTTTTGCTTTTTTTTTCCAGAGTTGCATAATCTTAGGCAAACATTGTATCTTTTGCTATACAGACTCAGGGAAAACCCCTCCTGTGGTTCAGATAAATAGTTCTGCTCTTTGTGGCCCTGCCACTTGGCACATTTTAGTTTCCTTTCGATTTAATAAAATTGAAAATGAACACTGAGTCAGAGCTCAACATACTTGGCTCCAATGTGAACTATATCCCATTCTTTCTGACTTTCCTTTTTTTCCTTCCCTAATACCCTTCAGCTATTTCACTTTCGTGTCATCCTCTGTCATCATTCTGGAATTTCCACTTGCGCTTCTCCCGGCTGCCTCCAGAACTCCCTATTAAAAGGGAGCTGAGTCCAGCTGCAGCAGTCTGAGCCGCGTCTGTCAGAGCTTCGGGTCCTGCTCCCACTGCCCTCACCCTTTGGGAAGATGAAGGTCTCTGCAGTCATTTTTGTTCTTGTCATTGCAGCCTCTTGCTCCCAAACTTTCTCTGGCCCAGGTGAGTCCCGCTTTTTCATTTGTGAAGGAAGAACAGATCTGAGCCTTTTTTATTATTTCTCTATTGAGTTCCCCTGGAAGATAACTGAATTTTTCAGCATTTGTACCACTCTCCATTCTGCACTGAGGTCAGGTACATGTAGGGACCCCAGAATTAGAAAATCCATCCATGCATCCATCCATGCACCCATGCATCCATCCATCCAGCCATCCGGGGTTCACAATACTTATTCCTGGTTATAGTTTAGGGACTTCAGTCTCTGTCCTGGGGCTGGGGGAGGTGGGGAAATGAATCTCTGAGCAATGATTGGGTGGGAATCTAGCCCAGCACCTGACAATATTGTTCCTGGCATTGGACCAGAAGAGACCCAATGTCCATTTCAACCTTAATTATTCTGTAGTTCCTCACTCCCTTCCCTGCCAGCACAGCTCCCTGAGCTGATGGGCTGACTGCTCCCAAGGCACAGCCCAGCATATGCTTACATTGTCTCTCCTTGCCTCTACCAGTTGGATCTGACCTCCCAATCTGCTGCTTCTCTTACACACACCACAAGCTCCCGCAGAAGCTCATCCTGCGTTATTACAGCACCAGCACCAGCTGCACGCTGCCGGCCATTGTGTAAGTACCAGTGCTGACTCCTGAGTGCAGACAAGCTGTGGCAGTGTGGGGACAGCCAGTACGGGTTGTGCGTGTGTGGGTCACAAGCTCTGCAGGGTGGCTGTGGGCAGAGGGGTCTGTAGGAACAGAGCCAGGTGAGGGGAAAGGGCTTGCACAAGGACTTCCAGGGATGCTCTTTTGGGGGTGCCCAGTGATGTTCCTGCAGGAGCTGAGGAGGCAGTGTGGGAAAAAGCGTGGGAATGGGAAAAATCACAGCTAGCCACTGGTTTCAGCATCAGTTTAGGGCACAAGGGAGATCCTCTTGCAATGCCCCAAATCTGGGATCCAGGCTCTCCTAGGATGTAGGTCTGAGCAGAGATCTCATATGTCTCATCCTTGTTCCACAGGTTCATCACAAAGAAGGGCCGCCAGGTCTGTGCCAATCCCAGTGACACCTGGGTCCAAAGTTACCTGCAAAAGCTGAAGCAGAACTGAGCAAAGCAAGATGGCAAATGTAGCTGCTATCGTGCATGAGTCGTGTGATTCTGAGCTCCTGTGACGGAGCAGGACCCTGGGGCAACAGGAGCTGCACGAGCCCACGTCATCTGCAGGTGGCTCCAAGGGGCTGCTGGAAGGCACCACGGGACACCTCGTGTTGGGGTGCTGCTACTTGGCCTTGGCTTGCACGGACCAGTCTGCAACCTCATCCCTCTGCCTGACCCCTCCGCCTGTGGCCTGGGAAGGCTCATGGGACTGCACCTCTATTGTTCTTATATTATTTTTAAATTTCCTTGAAAATTTCAGGAATTATCATATAGGATATGCAGTACTTTGTTCTGTGGATAATAATACTATTTATGGGAGGGTGGGAGGAAGGGTATTTATGGGAGGGAGTCTCAGTGTTTAATGATGGGTAACTCTGTCTTACACATGTGAAATCATGATTCTGGAGAATAAAGAATTTGGACAAACCCCTGCTTTTTAACTTTTATGTGCATCTGTGTGATGTTCACCAGCACAGAGACAGAACCTCACCCTGAGCCTATCTGCACGATCTACATGACATGTGATGATGGGAAATGGTTTGAGGCAAACCCATAAAGTTTCCATACTGCAGACTTATAAATATCCTCCGACACCTCATTTCCCCACCACATATACCCCTGCCTCCCATATTCTCTACAGAATTAGACATGTCTGTATGCACATATGGGCCTTTTGCATACAGGAATATGCTCTCCACACACCCCAGGCATGTCTCATATTCTTGCTTGCTGCTCCCAGCCCCACACTCCACATCCCAGACTGGTTCCTGAGTGTCCTGTGTGTGCAGTGGGATGGTGATGGGACACATTGCTGTAAGGGGTAAAATCCTGACATAGGCTTTGCATGGGGAGCAGGGACAGTGGCTCATGGTGAGGTGGGAGGAAGTGGGGGGCATGGAGCTGCTGCAGTGCTGGGGCTCCCCTGGGAACTCATGAGCTGCTCATCTTCCCTCGTGCTGAGGATGCTGCGGCACAGAGCAGGGCCAATTCCCTGCCCATACCGACCTTCACCCAACCATTTCTGCTAGTTAAGCAGCAGTATTTCCCGTCACAGACCCCATGGACACCCACATGCACACTGCCAGAGGCCCCACAGTGTCTCTCCTCACACCAATCTGTTCCTCTGAGACATCGCCACATCTCTGCCTGCCAGTCCCTGTGTGCAGCTGGGTCCTGCTGAGCCTGGCAGTGCTGCCTGGGGAGAGGCAGGGACCCCAGCTTTCTTTCTGACCACCCCAATGGGGGTTGTTTCTCACTGTCCCACCTGTAGAACAAAGGGAGGGGCTCAGCAATGCTGCAGGGGAAAAACAGCCACCAGCAAACCTGCTGCAGTCATTCCCAGGATGTGGCTTTGCGTGGGAACATGAATGAGAGGGAGCAGGTCCCAAGGGTACAAGCACAGTGCAGGGCACTTCTCTGCTTCTGCACATTGGGAAGAAATGCCCCCACAGCAAGGTCACCAAAAGCTGATCCGGCCTTGCAGCCATCCTGTTCCAGTCAGTATTTTTTCTTCCTAATGCAAAAAAGGCCTTTTCTTATTGTTTCAATTTTTTCTGCTGCTATAAGTCAGACTTGACAATCCTGAGGCTGGGAAAGCACCTCCCCGTTGTGATTTCCCTCTAGTCTTGTGTTTTCTAGGCTGGAAAGGTGGGAAGATTCCCGGGGCACCCAAGGAACAGCATCCCAGCAAAGGGCAGAGCCAGCCCAAGCACCACCATGTTGTGTCCCAGGAGATAGTGCTGGTGATGGGGAACCATATGGGGGGGTCCTCTCCAGCTCCATGGGGGTGGCTCTATGCTGGGAGGATGATTTGGGAAAGGCCCAGGATCTTGCTCACCCTTGGCAGGGTCCCTGCGCTCCCCTGGCACAGCAGGGTCCTAGCAGAGAGGGTCAGGTCCAAGCAGGGACAAGGTGGGTCAGCATGTTTGCAAAAATCTTGTCTGACTCTATGGTCAGGGCTTACCATTGTGGGGGAGAGACAAAAATCCGCAGAGGGGTGTGTCCTGAGCAAGGCTTCCCCACTGTGCCCCGAAACACGGAAGCAGAGAGTGGCCACTGCATGGTGGAGTGGATGGACAGGGGCTGCTGCCTGCAGGTGGGCAGGCCAGGAGCCTGGGAAAGGAGTTCTGGGGGTGTCCCAACCCCCCCACCTGCTGCAGGCTCAGTCGCCTTCTGTGCTGAGAAGCTGAGCTGGGTGCTGCAGAGGAACTGCAGGAGTCCAAACCAGTCCCTGATGTGGGGCTTGGTGCAGTGCGAGGGGGTGGACGATGGACATCGTGGGGAAAGGGAAGGCTGAGGGGGGTCTGAGGTTTGCTGAGGGTGCAGGGGACAGGCTGGAGAGGCAGGACTAAGTGCTGAAGCTGGCTCTTCTCCGGACAGTCCCTGGCTGGGAGCCCAGGCACATGTGGGAATTTCCATCTCCATCCTTTCTGGTTTCGCTTTCCTTTCTGAAGCTCCAGGATCAGCAGCCAAGCCAGCCTGCTCCAGGAGTCCTGAGCCCCCTTTTCCCAGACCCATCTCCCCTGGCATGAGCCAGGCAGCAGGAGGGCAGGTCCCTCTGCGAGGGGACTGTGGCAGCTCAGCCTGGGAGTCCCGTGCCTGCCTGTGCTGCCTGCCTGTCCATGCTGGTCCATGGGGATGGGGTGGGGGGGCAGCACCATGGCGAGGGTCTGTAAGAGCAAAGGAGGCTCAGGGGTCAGACATGCAGGGAGCAGCCTGCCCACAGCCTCCCATCTGCTGCCGGCTCTGAGCAGGTGAGGGCAGCCTGGAGGGGACACTTGGACAAGCTGGGGGAGCTGCTGTGGGGGGATATACTGCAGAATCCAGGGGATGTGTCGGCTGCTCTCGATGGCCCGGTCTTGAGGCTTGGGGCAGCACCAGCCCTTTCTTGCCTGCTGCACAGAAATCTGCTCGGTTATGGATTAGTCCCTGTCCCCGACACCCTTCTCCACATCAACTCTGACAGCCCAAAACTCCCTTTCCTGCAGGTTTCTTTGCTCTACAAGCAGCTCAGGGACAACTGTGCTGCAAAATGGGGTGTGAGTTGGGATGGGCCCCACCATGAGACTGCATGTGGGACAGAGGCGCAAACAAGCGTGGAACCAGGTACCAAGTCTCAAGAAGCAATTCAGGACTCAGCAAGGCCAAGTGATTCACCAGGCAGATCTGAGCTGAACAAGTAAGAGTGCAGCAGAGAGGCAAGGGAAGAGTTTAGCTCCCCAGCTGCCTGCTGGAAGGTGACCATTGCTCAGCCATCAGCTTCTGGTGTGCTTATAGAGGGAGACAAAAGCCAAGGCCAGCTGCTCCCATGGGGCCTGGCAGGTTGACTCTGCTGGACTGCATGAACCACAGGCTTTTTCTTCAGTGCCTGCTGTGTCAGAAGACCCTCATGGTGCCATGGGCAAAGCACCTGATAGCCTGCTTTTCTCTGGTCTTTTTGAGAGCATGAGTCCTGTGGCTGTCCCCTTTCTCCCAGTGAAGCTGGGAGAAGCACTGGGAAGGGAGGTGAGCCATGCAGACCTGCAGACCCAGTGGCTGCACTGTCTCCCTGCTGGCCCCTGTTCCTAACCTGATTCTGCAGCTGCCCCCTCCACCAGCCCCCGCGGGGCAATTCTCACCTCCTCCCGCTCTTGGCCAGTCGTATTATGAGGAGTGCAGCTGTGACAATTTCTAGCTGACCTTGCTGAAGCACCTGCTATATTAAAGGACGTACATCCTGACATGGGCTCTCTCTGCAGCTCTTTGGTAGCTGGTGGTTTGAACTTGGCCTCATGGCTCAGCTTCTTTGAGTTCTGTCTTTCCGACCTACACTGGCCACGTTCTGGCAGCTCCATGTCACTCAAGAACCTTTTCTCCTAAACCCACCCATTTATACATCCCATCGCTGGTGCTTCCCTGACAGAAGTGGGGACTGGATGGATCGAGGCTAAGTACAAACATGGTCTGTGTGTCTGCTTAGCTCCTGCTGGGAACATGAAGGTCTCGCTGGTCAAACCTTGCTCTCCTTGTTGCTGCCCTCTGCTCCCAATCCTGTTCTGCTCCACGTGAATCCACCTCTGTCTTTGGGTTGTTTTTTTCTATCCCGGAGGAAAGACTCATGATAGTGACATGTAATGCCTGAGGAACAGGCAATCCCAGCTCCTCGGTGCCTCAGTTTCCCCAAAGGCAAGCTGGGGACCCCTGCACCCCTGCCATGCCCACCCTAACCGCCCCCCCTGAGCCAGGGCCCAAGTGGTAGCTGCTGAGGGGCTCTTCCCTGACTCTTTGATCTGGAGCGTGGCTGCTGGGAGTGCTTATTCTCGGTTGGTTGTACACATCCATACTGTGTCACCTCCTGGTCATATATATTCAGTCCTGCACCCCAAATCTCTTCCAGCTGTCCCTGACACAGCTGTGTGCTGTTTCACATGCACTTGGCAGAAGCTTTCCAGGAACCACATGAAGGTCTATTTCTATGCCGCCAGCAGGTGCCAGCAGCCAGCTGTTGTGTGGGTGTGGGCTCTTACCTGTGCAGGAAACCTTTGGCTTGGCCCCACAAATCTTTCTGCCTCTTGGGACCAAGAATGGGACTTGTTGGGGTGTTATCTGGGATTGACCACCACTCAGTCCTGGCAAGGAGAGATGCTCTCCAGTTGCAAAGAGATGGCTGAGAAGGCCCTGTCTGTGATGACGCTGGGATGAGCCCAGTGGAGGGAGGATGAGAGGTTGTTCCTGGTATCATGTGTGTTGCAGCCATGTGAGCATGACAGAGAAAGTGCTCCCAAGTGAGGTGTTTGTTGTGCAGCAGAGAAATAGCCAGAGGGTTCCTGCCCCAGGAGACACCAACCACATGCTCTGCAGTGGCCACTTGGATCAGAGGTCTGTGGTCCTCCCTGCCTGCAGCAAGTTGAGGCAGATCCAGGAGTCTGGCCCAGGGACCTTCTCTGATTTCACAGCACCTGCCCCTGGCTGGCTGCCTCCACACTAGGCAACACTCATGAAAAGGACATTCCCAGCCCTGGTGTGACAGTGCAGATCTGTGGTGGTATACCCCTTCCCCACAACAAAGGTTTCCTGGTCCTCCCCACTTCCAAGCTTCATAACCAGGAAGAAACATCAAGTCTGCTCTCACCCTGACACTGACTGAGTGAAGGCATGTGTGAATTTTTTTGGGACACACTGAGATGGCCACCTCCACTTGGTGACCCAGTGCTCCAGTTCTGGCCCCTGGGAGCCCAGGGCCACCCCCAGTTTCTTCCACTCCTCTTGCAAAGGAATGATTTTTTGTGTCATGGACTGATGAAGGGTCTGGT